TTTACAGAACAATGAGGTGGAATTAAACTTTGTTTTAAATTGCCTAGAGTTTGTGGAGCTACGAAAAATATTTACTTACTTAAGTACAAATAAGTTGTTCCTTACAAGAATGCATAATTTTTATCTTACACATAGACACTATTATGAAGTTATAAAAACGACCAAAAATATTTGATTTGTTAATTTAGCTATTTTTCTTAGTCGTAACAAAAATTTTGGTTTATTTTTTATTTTGGCCCATTTTGCTTTTTCTCTGAAAAAGTTCTGGCAGCACTGTATTCAACAGCTTAGTTGTTTTTCAACCGCGTAATTTCTACTCGTTCCTCGTCATAGGCAGGCAGTTGGACATCGCTTCCTTCGTCATCGTTTGAAATTAGCATCTTTGCACTCTAAGCCGACGATATATGTTAAAAGAAAATGATCTGAGCACTCTAAAATGCGTATGTACTTCAGTACAAAAAATAATTGTAATTGCCATATATAATCGCATGTACGTAACAAATATGTCAGTATTTTTTCCCATTGTGTTGTTTAAGCATTAACTAGGCAATTTAATTCGCAACAAAGTCTGGATCTAGTTACTCAAGTTATTTCTATGTCATATATGTCTAACACCTGTCGCTATTGAAATTATGGGTTAGAGCAGGTGTTTCAGAATCTGCCACCAAGTAGAAGTATAGTACACAGTGTTATTTTCTAATCCATGCATGTAATAACTGTCTACAAACAAGCATAAGTTTCATAAATTGATTGATTGATTAACTTGTATATAAATAAACAAAAACTGAACGTCTAATTATTTTGCTGTAACAAATTGCTTTCCACACCTCAGTGATTATCGTGAGTATGTATTTAAAATTGAACTAGTCAAATTGTTATACTCTATTAAAAGTAACGCACCTAACACTTGGTTAGCGTGATTATTGTTTTTTTTTGTAGGTGCGATTGTGAATGCGAAATAATTAAAAAATACTTAATGAGGCTGTCATTAAATCTCTGCATATACACCCATATGCATGTACGTACATAAATGTGTATGTAAGTATGTTCATGTCAGAATGTATTTAATCAAGACGATTTTAAGCATGCATTTTTACACCTAACCTGGGCATATAGGTACATATCTACAAATTTAGAATCAATTAATAAAACATAAATAAGCCATCAAATTATAAAAATTAGTTGCATTCGCGTACCTGTATATAGGTACATATCTACAAATTTAGAATCAATTAATAAAATATAAATAAGCCATCAAATTATAAAAATTAGTTGCATTCGCGTACCTGTTAATTATTGAAAGATATCAAGAACTATCAGCTTTTTGCGCTCGCTTACGCAAAAAACTTGCAAAGTAGGGGAAATTGAGAGAGAAAAATGACATTTCATTTTGAGGGGAAGCTGCTAGTTTCAGCTAGAAAAATTTTTGCCAACGGAAAACAGCTGATCAAAAATAGCTGGTAGGACTTTACGCAAATCACAAAATTGAATTTGATGGTTTGGAAGTTAAAAATGATAAAATGCGACCGTTGACTTTTTTAAACGTGGCCTTTATCGGTATTAGAATTTAAATAACAATTAATATCAGATATTCAGTAATACTTTAGCTACGTTAAAAAACTTGCCTTTGTCTCCTGACTGCCAAAAAAAAAATCCCAATACTCGCCTCTCAATTGTACGGACTTCTCCCGATTTCACATAGCAAAGTAGAACAGCCAATCAGCGATCGCCACGATGACAGTGAAAGTCGGTAGCAAACGTCAGATGCCAAAGACGTTGCCGGATCTTGCATCAGCGACTAATTAAACATGTAAGAAGAAAGTAGTTATTCGTTTAATCAATAAACTGTGTCAGGATAACACTTTGTGAAGAGTTTTCGTACGTTTTAAATTTTACACTTTCGAATGTCTGCTAAAATTCTGTCAGCTGTTCGTCTAACTTGCAAGTTTCTGCAAATTTTCTATTCGCGTACTATTCTGGATATTTTTATCTTATGAGAGAACAGATGACATTTCGCTCGAATTTTGCTGTCGGATGTTTTTTACTGGAGATTTTAAACGAACGTACCTAATAATGATTGCCTGCGCTTGATTACACCATTTAAATGTTTTCCATGTCAGTTTGGACCCTACCCCCTAATTTCGTTCGTTTTTATGAGAAATATTATTGTCTATTTTTATAGATTTTAAAGGTCATTTAGAGGTCTTGACCGGTAGATTTAGGTGAGAAAATACGATTTTGTAGATTTATAAGTTTTTGAATGACTATTTTTGATTCAATTTCAAAGATCGAATATGGTCTGAGAAAGGATATACATATAGGCCCTTAAAATGGTATAAAATAATCTATTGTCGGACTTGGCTTAATTCTTTAAACTTTGACCATCGATAATTTCTACATTTTCCAAATATGTAGTACGATCTTAAAGCAAATCTATTTTNAGGATATACATATATTCCCTTAAAATGGTATAAAATAATCTATTGTCGGACTTGGCTTAATTCTTTAAACTTTGACCATCGATCATTTCTACATTTTCCAAATATGTAGTACGATCTTAAAGCAAATCTATTTTTAAATAAACTGATAGCTCATTTATTGCAATTGCAAAAAAATTGTCGAAGTTAGGCGACTTTTCTTAATTACGGTCTTGAATTTATATTGATTATGTACCGGACTTTCAGATTTTTTGAGCAGTGTGACTAAGGAATTCATCAGTATTTATTCATAATTGATATATGTAATCGCTCTTTAGCAAAGAAGTGGCTTTTCAAGAAATTTTAGGAAAATGGGGGTGGCACCACCCACTTTATGATATATGCGTATCTCAAAAACTACTTGACGGATCTCGACCAAATTTTGTATACACATGTGCTTAGCCTCCTTAAATACCGTCTTGAATATTTTTGAAATTGGACAAAACCTACTCCTACTAAAATATAGCTAGCTTTGAGTTTTTTTGAAATTACCGTTACATTGGTGGAGCCCGTGGTTTTTGTCCGATTTCAGCAGAAGCCTGAGCGCAATGTGTATTCCAAATTTGGTTGAAATCGGTAAATTTCTAAAAATTTTTGAAAAGCCACTTCTTTGCTAAAGAGCGATTGTACATATATATCAATTTTGAATAAATATTGATGAATTCCTTAGTCACACTGCTCAAAAAAATCTTCAACAATTTTTATACGATTGCAATAAATGAGCCATCAGTTTATTTACAAATACATTTTATTTTAGATAGTACTACTATTTTGAAATTGTGGAAATTATCGATGGCCAAAATTTAAAAAATTAAGGGAAATATGGGTTATTTTTATTTTACCCGATAAAAAGTCCCAACAAGCCAATTTAAACCAAATATTTACCGGTTAATTACATTATTTAATTGTAAAAGTTCCCCTGCTGTAGCGAAAAATTAAGCCAAATCCTTTTCAAGAACTTCACCATCCTTTGCTACCAAAATGCGTTTATCATAATTCATACGAAGCCAGCACACAGTGGTTCAAAATTGGAATTTAATATTCATAATTCACCGGAGCCTTAATTTTTCAACCAACAAGAACATTTTCGATGAACGCCCTAATGTACATACATATGTATGTAGTTAGTTACCAAGAATGACCTTTGTTCTGTACACCCCTAGTTACGAATTTTGATTTCGTTTTAAGCCCAGAAATACATATATTGATGAGGTGGACAAAAAATTTATATACAACTAGCAGACTTGGCGAACTTAGTCCCGCCCAAAATTAGTTTTTTTTATTGAAACATTTGGTACAACGTTTTCGCCAGCAATTCACGTTCACGTTTGGTTTTGTGGTCGACAGAGGGCATATCCTCCATTGCCGTCTTAAATAACCTGACGAAAGCGTTATACCGGGAAGAAGTCCTTGAGGCTCGATGGTGAATCGTCCTTGAATCTGTATAGTATAGTTGGTGGCAATTTCCAAACTGGTGAGTATCATTGGTATGTTTAGTCACCGTAAAAGGGCCGCAATGGTTCTGATGGTCCCTAATGCCTCCGAATCGACGATTTTTAGCAATAACTCAGCTCCAGCGCCACCTTGCGTTTTAAGTTGTGAACTTAAACTATACAGGGACCTACTCAAGCACATAGAAAATGTCATTAAAATCGTTTCGATCGTTTAGGAGGAGTTCAGCCACCAGAATAAGTCTTTGTTTGTATATATTTACAGATAGGTAAAAGTTTCAATATGTTTGGAAAGCTCCATGCCCTTTCCAGTAGCACTCTCTATACCATTTACCAGAACACTGCCACAAATACTTCCAGAGATATACGGTATGAAAAATTCGATATGTGGGTCATTCTTAAAAAACATGACCAATTGGTGTCCCCAGACTTTACTATTTTATATTTTGTTTCTTCAAAAAGAAAATAGAAAAATAACTGCATTTTTATAAATTATTATCGATTCTACGTAACTATATTATAAAACAAAAATAATTAATTATCTGAAAATAACTTGAAAAATATTTTCAATGTCAAAGGTTTAGCAAAAACCTGTGTCCCGAGCCAATTTATAAAAATTTAATAGTTATTTTCAGTTGAAATAAAATTGAAAAAAAATAATATTTTCAATTTTTGTTATTCAGTTTGTGTATATTAATACCATATATAGAAAAGAATGATGAAAAATAATTTTTTTGTATAATTTTTATGAAGAAAATTTGTGTCCCNCTATTCATATATCTCGAATATGAGTCAAATTGGAGCACAAATACGATTTTGAGTAATAACTCGACTCACGCGCCACCTGGCGTTTTAAGTTGTGAACTTAAACTATACAGGGACCTACTCAAGCACATAGAAAATGTCATTAAAATCGTTTCGATCGTTTAGGAGGAGTTCAGCCACCAGAATAAGTCTTTGTTTGTATATATTTACAGATAGGTAAAAGTTTCAATATGTTTGGAAAGCTCCATGCCCTTTCCAGTAGCACTCTCTATACCATTTACCAGAACACTGCCACAAATACTTCCAGAGATATACGGTATGAAAAATTCGATATGTGGGTCATTCTTAAAAAACATGACCAATTGGTGTCCCCAGACTTTACTATTTTATATTTTGTTTCTTCAAAAAGAAAATAGAAAANAATATGACTCAAATTGGAGCACAAATACCATTTTGAGTAATAACTCGACTCACGCGCCACCTTGCGTTTTAAGTTGTGAACTTAAACTATACAGGGACCTACTCAAGCACATAGAAAATGTCATTAAAATCGTTTCGATCGTTTAGGAGGAGTTCAGCCACCAGAATAAGTCTTTGTTTGTATATATTTACAGATAGGTAAAAGTTTCAATATGTTTGGAAAGCACCATGCCCTTTCCAGTAGCCATCTCTATACCATTTTCCAGAACACTGCCACAAATACTTCCAGAGATATACGGTATGAAAAATTCGATATGTATGGGTGATGCCTTAATATATCGAAAGTCTGCAGTAGGTGTCCAAAATTTCAAAAAAATCGGTACATCCGTTCGCGAGATCACCTTTTATAAAAAGAAGGAGCTTCTCTTTATATAATTAGTGTAGGTAATACTGGGCAACACCGATTTTGATGTGGCAAATGTAAAAGCTGTTAAGCGTTTTTGTGCTGATCAAGAATCCGTAAATATAAAGTTCCATCAGCTCCAGATTTTGGGAAAAATGTGGTGAAAGTGTAAAAAAATCGCGTTTTTGCAATATTTGAGAAGCTTTAGCAAGGAAACAAAAGGTGATAGAACCTTCCACTTAGGCTTAAATTAAAGCTAGAACTACAGGCTACTTTCTCTGAAAATACTTCTTTCTGCACCTTGCCCTGATGGTCACCTATACTAGATATATACTTTTTATTGTCCAACAATAAAAAAAATACTGGAAGATTATGCAATTGAAAAAAAAGGTGTAAAAATCAATGTTAGCTGTTCAATAAATGACTATAGGTGACCTTAGGGTCAAGGTGCAGGAATGGTATTGATTGAAGTCAGAAGTCCAAGCCTTAATTTAGGCCTAAGTTTGCTTAATTGCGGCAGGTACTCAAATTTCCCAAAATCAGTTATTCCTGTTCAACAAATGGCTATAAGTGACCTTCAAGCAAAGGTGCAGGAATTTTCAGGAATAGTATTCGCGATTTTTAGCTTTAATCTAAGTCTTAGTGGAAGGTTCTACCACCTTTTGTTTCTTTGATAGAGCTTCTCAAATACAGTATATTTTGCTTTGATGCCCATCCTTCTTTGCACGAGAAAACTTGACCGAAAAAGGTACTTAAGCGAATTTACTACTTCAATGAAGAAGGTACCCTAATCCCTATGAAACCAAGTAGTGGAGGAGCACTTACCACGTAGAAATTACTGTAAGCGAAATTTTTACCGAATGGGATGAGCAAAATAAATAAAAACTTTTAAAATTAAGTAATTGCCAGTGCAGGTAAACGTAATAATTTCCTTGATAATCAATAATAGTTGCACAATTTTTAAGGCAGGTATTTTTTTGTACAGGTATGTTGAATGCATCTATCGGAGCAGTTTCATTATAAATGTTAAAAATGATGCCGCTGATGCGCATTTTAGGGTAGGTATCTTAAATGTGCAGTTAAGCATAAATGCAGCAAAGCAAAATATACTGTATTAAAATAAAATTATAGTTTAAAAAACTAAAACCTCCCTATTATAATTGCCATTCGTACCAGTGTTGCCAGGTCTTCGGCATGAGAAAACGTCCCTTTTGGTCTGAAAAAACGTCATTTCCCACCCAAAAACGTCTTTTTCAAATGAATGTAAAAAAATTGTTCTTATTTAAACTTTTATTGTATACAAAGGTACATATCGAGCCCCAACCGCCAAAATAACGTAAGCAAAATTTTTTTTCAAAATTTTCTTTTTGATGCAGAAATATTCCTAGGGCATCTAGATGCATTTCTGCATCAAAAAGAAAATTAAAAAAAAAATGTCACTTAAGTTATTTTGGCGGTTAGAGCTCGATATGTACGTAAAGTATATTACAATATCATTTCGACAGAGCACATTTAAAATTCATTGTAAACTGGTTTGAGATCGTTAATATAAAAATCATTTTATACATACACTTGTGATCAGCTGATTAAGTCATTAACATTTTGATCGATTTTGGCTGTTTCTCTTTCGTTTATTTAATGTTTATTATTTTTCCATAAAAGCCATGCTCATTAACAAACAAAATATAAATTCACAAAAATTGTGCAAAAATTATAAACAATCTGCAAATTTTCAGCTGGATTTTCAACTTTCTTTTCAGATTTTTTAGCCCATTAAATTTCAGGGCAATAATGTGCAAGCTTAAAGGGGCTCAATAATCGCGGCGATTTTTAATAATTTTTTTTTTGTAGAAATTTGGTTAGGGGCTCGGTTGTCGAAAATGCTAAATTACGCTCTGCTAAGAAGGAGCATAGCAATAGGTCCATTCAATATCAAAAAATTGTTACTAGTACTTGCCGGTTTTTACTGGAAATGCATTCAATAACCCAAAATATTTGCAAGAGGGAGCGAATTCGAGAGCGTAACAACCCGAGAGAGCTGCAAATTCTGCAAGTAAAAATTTTACTAGCAGGAATTTGCAGGAGTCCAAAAGTAAGGTTATGTTTCAAATTCAAATGTAAACGAACTGTTTAAGGGCCCTTTCCTCATCCAACCTTTAGATTACCGGCCACTTTATCGCCGCGATATACGAGTTTTCGTTTTCTCATCAGCGCATTAATTTCTCGAATCGATAAATTATTGCTTACCTGTTGCAACCTTTAAAATTTGTACCTAACTTTAAATTTTGGTTTGGTTTTGNGAACTGTTTAAGGGCCCTTTCCTCATCCAACCTTTAGATTACCGGCCACTTTATCGCCGCGATATACGAGTTTTCGTTTTCTCATCAGCGCATTAATTTCTCGAATCGATAAATTATTGCTTACCTGTTGCAACCTTTAAAATTTGTACCTAACTTTAAATTTTGGTTTGGTTTTGGTTCATGAGTTAGATATATTGGATATTTCAACCAAGGTTTTGGTTTTTGCTAACAGTTGCTCTTGCTCTATATTTGCTTGTTGCATTGCCAACCTTTGGAATTTTATGACGAATGTAGTGAAGTTTCACTCTCGGAAATATAGTGAGGTTTCACTCTACGGACAAAACAAATTTATTTTTACAGGTAAGATTAGAAAACGAAAACACTTTAAAGTGAGGAACAATTTATCTGCCCTGTTAGTAAAGGCAACTTTACTGCTTACATTACCTAACCTTTAGTTTACCGGCCACTTTATCGCCTCGATATACGAATTTTCGTTTTCTCATCAGCGAATTAATTTCTCGAATCGATAAATTGTTGCTTTCCCGTTGCAACCTTTAAAATTTGTACCTAACTTTAAATTTTGGTTTGGTTTTGGTTCATGAGTCAGATATATTAGATATTTCAACCAAGGTTTTGGTTCTCTGCATCAGGTGAGCAACAATTTATCGATTCGATAAATTAATGCGCTGATGAGAAAACGAAAACTCGTATATCGAGACGATAAAGTGGCCGGTAAACTAAAGGTTAGATGAGAAAACGGCCCTAAGTTCATTTTGTATAAAATGTTAGTCTGTTACAACAGCAGTCCGGTTTTCAGGATTTAGGGCCGTTTTCTAATGTAAGCTGTAAAGTTGCCTTTACTAACAGGGCAGATAAATTGTTCCTCACTTTAAAGTGTTTTCATTTTCCTATCTTACCGTTAAAAATAAATTTGTTATTCCGTAGAGTGAAACTTCACTACGTTTCCGAGTGTGAAACTTCACTACATTCGTCATAAAATTTCAAAGGTTGGCAATGCAACATAAGCAAATATAAAGCAAGAGCAACTGTTAGCAAAAACCAAAACCTTGGTTGCAATATCTAATATATCTGACTCATGAACCAAAACCGAAACAAAATTTAAAGTTGGGTACAAATTTTTAAAGGTTGCATCGGGTGAGCAACAATTTATCGATTCGAGAAATTAATGCGCTGATGAGAAAACGAAAACTCGTATATCGAGACTATAAAGTGGCCGGTAATCTAAAGGTTAGATGAGAAAACGGCCCTTAGTCAGAACTTAACATAACATAAAACCTGTAAGTGGGATCACTTTTGAGAGAGTAACTGAGCAACTGTTCCTAGTCGGAAGTTACGGGATTTAGTCCGGAGTTTTTTTCCTGCAAGTTCATGAATAGTCTGTTCCTTTGAACTTCGGACTAAAACCTGTGGAACTGTCTAACAACAATTTTACTCTCTCAAATGAGAGTAAAAGGAGAACAGATGCAGAAGTGCATAGGAACGCAAAAAGCACTATTTCCTGTAAAAACGTCAGTCGGTTGCCGACAGCGGTGAGTAATTAATTGTAGCTGCTGCAACTACGCCTGCAGTGAAAACCCAAACCAGTTAGAAAAAATACTAGTTCATAAACTAGTATGTGCCTACCAGTTCGACATTTTCGAAGAACTTAAGCGTTCAGCGACATCTGCCTTTGAATTGCCAAAGCCTAAANATAAAACGCAATTAATTGCTTTTCTTACAAATGTCGGCTGTGGCGTCACGTGAAGACTACTGGTTCTGGTTCTGAGATCGCAGGTTCGAGGCCGCTTGGAGGTGGTTAAGATTTTTAAAGTTAGATCAATGTAAGTAGGAATAATTATTTCAATTTAAATATAAATAACAAATTTAAAAATCTAGTTGCATTACAAAAAAAAGAAACAAATATATGGGAAGAAATACTTGTGCCATAAAACAATAGATTAAAAAAAATATTTTTTTTTTATTAAATCTA